GCGCGTATGTCGAACGGCAGGCAGTCGCGCCCAGCCCCGCGATTCAGGGGCGATTCCTGGGGCGCCTCCGCGTTCTCCACCGTCGCGGGCAGGCTCGGCTGCGCGCGAGCGGCGTTGCGCAGAGGGGCCGAGCCAGTTGCGGACGCGAAGCAATTGCCTGGCGATGACGTGACGATCTTCGCCTGGTCAGCAGCCAGGTCTGCGGGGCAAGCCTGCAGAGACCGCGAGCATATAATCTCGCGCGTCGAGCAGTGCGGTGCAGCGCTCAAACCGCGCGCGGGCGCGCGCGACGCTGACGCCGCGGTCGCGGCCATCTCGCGCGACGTAAACGTGCCACGGTTGGAAGAGCTCGCGAGAAGGGCAGGTCGCGCCGACCATGGGTGCGCGCGTTTCGTCGTGGAGGCAGTTCTGCGCGCCGCGCTCTCTGCGCTCCAGGCGCCGCGCGCGCGTCGCCACCGCGGGGCGCGCCAGTGACTGGCCGGCTGCCGTCGTCGGGCAATGGCGTGCCGCGCGAGTTCGATGAGCCCGACGGAATTGACGATCTCGAGAAGGGTACCTCGCGTCGGCGCGCCAGTGCGCCTGCGGGTCGGCAGAGTAGGCGAGCTGAAGAGCGACGAGCGGCTTCTCGCCTCGCTGCGAGACGATGAGTTCGATGCGGAGCAGAGAGATGGGTGGGGCGCATCGCCGACGCAGTTCGCGCTGACAAGTTGACGGCAAGTGTCATTCGCGCCCGCGCGCGGGCCCCAGCGCCGCGCGCGCCGCCGCGCGGGCGCAGCCTCCAAACTCGTTGGGGCGCTCTCCTGTGGGGCGCCCCACCAACTTAGAAGAGTGGGGAAGGTCTTCCAGCGAGCGCGCGGGCGTGGCAGCAGACTGAGCGGCAATGTGCGAGACTCGCTCTCCTGGCGGCGTGCCGTTTTGTCGAGTCGTGTAGTCGAACTATGAGGGAGGTCAGGCGAGCTCGCAGGCGCCGATTGCTATGTGGGCCGGCGCGCGCGGGTCTCCGTTGCGCCTTGCGGCGGTCGCGCTATATTTGTGATCAATGGTGTTGTTGCGACGTGGAGCCATCCCGCGACGTCGTGGGGCGCGCGCGCCCCGCGCGCCGACGAGCAAGGCGCCCATGCGCGCTGCGCGGCCGTCGCGCGCAGGCAATTCTTGCAGTTCGCCGACTCACGCAGTGCTGGCCTCGAGGTTCAGGCCGTGGCCCTGGGTCATTGCGCCTGGGCCCCCCCCCCCAGGGGCCGCGATCTGTTTGTCTTCAGCGACAGCGCGGCTGCCAGAGCACTTCTACAGTAGGTCTGCGCGAGCGCCGCTGACCGTCGCGCTCTCGCTCGCTCTGTGGTCAGCGATCGGGGCGCTCGACGCGCGCGTCGTAACCGAACGCGTGCCATCAGAAGAGAACATCGGTGACCTGCCACGCCGCGAGGAGTATGAACTTCTGGTGCAGGTCGGTGCGCGCCGCGCGAAGGCGCTCGCCGACGCGGGTTGTGCTGGGCGCGGGCGGCGCGGCGCTCCCCTGCCTTCGCGCAATCTTTCGTTGCAAACCAGATCAAGCTGCGCGCCAGCGTTTGTTGCTTCACGCGCTAGGCGAATCGTATCCATTAGCGCGGCTGGGCCGCGTGCCGCGGGCGCGCGGTCGCGTCGTTGCGCCGCGCGCGATCTGCGGCGCTCGTGCCGTGTCCCTCCCGTGAAGTGGGCAGAGACGTTGTCGCGAATCTTCGCGTGGCCTTTGCTCGCCGCTCTCCTTCGTTCATCGCAGCCGCCATGGGCGAAGCAGTGGAGCTCATCGTCGCCAGCGGCGTCTTGCCGCTTGCCGACGTCAGAACGGCGCCAGACTGCCAGTGCTGGAATGGGAGCCAGGCGGGGGCGTGCGCTCGCGCGCCTCCCAGGTGCCCGTCTCTGTCGTGCGGGCGGCAGACGACGAGTGCATGGGGCTGGTGCGCGCTGCGCAGCGGTGCGCCCCTCCGGCGGGGCCTTCGCCGCCCCAGAGTCCGCGGGGTCGCGCCGAGTTGCAAACGTCCGCGCCACTTTTCCCACGACGACAGGGCGCACCGCGCAGAGCGGCCGCGCGACGCTCAGGGCGCCCGCAGCCACTCGTCCTCTGACGATAGCAGCGACGACAGCAGCTCGTCGCAGGCAGCGTCACTCGCCCCTGCGCCGCCCATGCGAAGCCATTGGCGCGACAACGCGGAGGGCTTGTTAAAGGGGCTGAGTGCGAAAGTGCGGCTGTTCGGGGAGAGTGCAGGCGAATGCCTCGGGGCGGCGCGGGCAAGTCGCAGTGGTGACCGAAGACGTGCAGTCGTGGCGCGAGCGCGAGCGCCTGCGCGCGATGCTGGGCTCGTCTCCACGCTTCCTGGGCACGGTGGTGACGGCGGCGAAGTCCTGGTTCTATTCGCCGAGGCCTGGATTCACCGCGCGGGCAACGAGCTGGCCCCAGATGTGGGCGGCCTGCTGGCGTGGTCGTGCGTTTTCAAGCCTGCCAGCAACTTCGGCGTTTACCCAGGTGCGCTTCGCGCGGCTTGCGAGGCGCGGGGGCGACGGGCCGGCGTGCTCACTCGCGACGCGCTTGACGCTGAGGTGCTCTGGCTGAATGCGGATTGATTGCTTCGCGGCGCGGGAAGTCGGGTGGGCCCGCGCGGCCATCTCGAAGCGCGGCCCGCGGGGGCGCCCCGAGAAGAGTTGCTTCTTGCACGGCGACCTCCTGCGTCTCCTGCTTCGCGTGGCGGACCTGGCACGCCGAGCGCCGTGCATAATGTGTTTCGACTTCGCCCTTGGGATGCCATCGGTGGGCCTGGGGGTCGCGGTGCGCCGCTCAGCGCAGTCGCGGCGGTTTGCTTTCAGCGGCGAAGAGCTCTGCGCGCGAGCCACCAAGGCTATGTGGCGAGTTCATGCGGAGACCGTCCGCAGGGTGGGGGGCCGCGTCAGCGGCGTCAGAGCCGCGGCTCGTCTTCCAGGGCATGCAAAGAATGCTTGGGCTGCTGCCGCTAGGGGGGTGGCGTGGCCAGCATTCGCGCCGGCTGCCCTCGGCAGACCATGGCTCCGCACGTGCGCAGCTGCAGTCGCGCGCAGCTTGCGTTGGGCGTCCGGCGTCGTCGGCGGCAGCGTTCGGGGTCGCAGTGGGTGCAAGGCCCGTGCGCTGCCCCCTCCCCGCGTGCCGCAGTGCATTCTACCGTGGCGGCGGCGCCGTGCCGCAGTGGGCTTTGCCACTGATGGGGCGCTTGCGAGGGGGCGCGTCGCGCCCGTCGACGGGGCGCGACGCGCCTGGGCGCTTGGCGCCGCCGCCCTGCGGTGGGCGCGCGAGCTCGCATGTTCGCGGGCACTGTGGGGCGCGCTATCGGTGTGCGTCTGGCAGGCGCGTGGATCGCATGGCAGGCGCGCGCGCTGGGGCAGGTCAGCGCGCGCGCCATCGCTGCGCGGGCGGGGGTCGCAGGTGCGCGCCCGGCCCGACGGGGCGCGCGCGCGCCGCGGCGCCGCGCGGGTGACCGCGGCGCGCGCTGGACGGGCTGGCCCGCTGCCTGCTTCTCCCTTCCTCGTCCCCTTCCGCCGGGCAGCGCGGCCTGCCCGGGACTAGCGTTGCGGCGTGTAGGGCTGTGGCCGAGCCGTCGGGCTTCGCGTGCGCGTCCGGCCCGCGCTGGTAGATTTTCGCTGGCATGGTTGGGTTCCAGATCGGATGGCACTTTGGGCGTTCCCGACGGGCCCTCGCCCGCGGCGCGCGTCGCCGCTCGGCGAAGGCTGGCCCCTCGCGCGGTCGCAGCGGCAAGCGGGACGACGGAATGGAGACTTGTGCCCAAGTCGGGCCCGCTGCCTTTTCCGTCCTCCCCGCCCGCCCTCACCTGGCGCGCTGTGTTGCGCGTGTTGGGTGCGACGGTGGCGTTGTGTCCAGGGGCGTCGGGCCCGCGCGCTGCCCCCTCGCCGCGCGCCGCAGTGGATTCTACAGCGGGGGCGGCGCCGCGCTGCAGTGCGTCTGTCGCTGATGCGGCGCTCGCGAGGGGGCGCGTCGCGCCCGCGGACGGGGCGCGGCGCGCCTGGGCGGGTTGCTGCTGACGTTGTGCGGCGCTTTCTCTCCTGGGCTCGGGCCCTGGGCCGCGGGCCCGGCCTTGGTCTCGGCCCTGGCCCTGGTCCCAGCCCGCCCAGCTCCGGCCCCAACTATGGCCCCGGCCCCGTCCCCGGCTCTGGACCCGCGGCCTAGTCGCGTCTGCGGCCCGGGTCCCAGCTTCGGCCCCGTCCCAGGCCCTGGCCCTGGCCCCCGCCCCGGTCCCCGCTTCCACGCCCCCGCTCCAGAGCGGAGCTTAATCGAAGCTCAAGCCATCGCTCTTTGAAACTCACGCGCCTGATCGTCAGGTTTTCACCGAGGGACGTGCCCCGTTGAAAGACAATTTTCTGGAAATCCTGAACGGCGCCAGAACACCGTTCCTGCGACTTCAGCGCCCCGAATCATCGTTGTTGTTGCGCCCTGACGATTCTGAATCGCACCAGGACACCATTCCTGGGTCTTGAACGCCGCGAATCAATGTGACTATTGCGCGTTGTCAATTCTACATCGTGCAAGTATATATTTGCGGGGCGCCAGCCATAATCATTATTGAAACGGTTCTGAACTTGTAAGTCGAATGGGCGCGGGGCTAGCGCGATAACGACATATTGAAAACGACCAACCCCCCATCTTTGAAATTCTTGCAAACTTTTAAGACGACCGTGTGCAGTGTTTCGGCGACAAGGTGATTTTGAAAATGGCCCGGTGATCACCCGTCAAACTGTTGCAAGTTCTGAGCTCAAGGATCCTAGTAAAATTGTGAGGACCTGCCACGCGAAGCGCCCAGCCCGCCATACCGACACTTTTCTGGGTGCGACAGGGTGGAGTTATTTGTGACGAAGTGGGATGGGGGAGGGGGGCGGCGGAGGAGGAGGGTGGAGGATGGAGCTTGGACCAGATGTCGAGCTGTGTCGCCGACGACACCGCTGCCGATCATCAGCCGGGCCCCGAAAAGGGTACGCCACAGTAG